TGCCCACCGTGGGCAGAACCCTGTATATATATATATATATTATATTAATGTATTACGTGTGGTAGCAGTTGTGTAATCATACAGGGACGCATATATACGGCGTTCTCATGGTTTGCGGGCCGTGATAACGGTTGCACATCCATAAGTTCTCCTCAGCTCCTCCTGCCTCTCCATGAACGCTTCCGCTTTGTTGCTCTCCTTCAGCTTGCGCAGCCGCTGGTGGAGCGCGTCCGTTTCGTTCGAACCCGAGTTCTTGCTTCTGTTTCTGAGAAGCGTGAACGTAGAATCGGCTTGTAGAAACTTCGGGTCGAACACCGCGTCGATGTTGTAGTAGTGCACTGGCTTCATGAGGGTCTCGTGAAGAGGAACCGTCGCCTCCATTTTGTCGAAGCCAATCCCCTTCAGCGTCTTCTCCAACGTAGAGTAGTCTCCGTAGGCTAGATCCATGATCGGTGCCTCGAAGATGCTATCTAGATCGTCGATGAGGCCGTGGTACCACATGCTGGTCTTGAGTTGCGGTTTTAAGCAGGTGAGCAGGATAAAATGGCCGCCACTCTTCAGAGACGCGTAGATGTTGCGCAGCGCCGCCGTCGCTTTCGGGAAGGTTCTGGTCGAGGCGTCGTCGTCAGGCGAGCCGAGGTGGTGCAGGACGAAATTCATGCAGATGACGTCATACTGCTGTCCGTCCGGCAAGGGGTTTGGAAGTTGCAGCGTCTCGCAATGAGACACGCGCCCTTCGGCGACGTAGTCGGCAACCTTGGTCTTTGCGTAGCTCAACATGCCCTCGCTTCCGTCGAACATAGACACCTTGCCAACCCCATTGTCCAGGAAGTACTTGGAATAGTTTCCGGTGCCGCAACCTACATCGTAGACAGGCAATATGTTACAGCAGAATGAAATTCCTATGTCAATAGAAATGTGTGCTAGGTGAATAGAAATTCTTAAAGGATGCAAGCAATTGTGAATACTATCGGTGATGGGAAGAGAAAAACTTGCGAATTTGTGAATGGTCTGTAGGAATAGCTGTGTGACTACTGGTGGTTTTCAATTGTCTTTGAATTTGTCACTAAAATAAATTAAGGGTTATGTTCCATGTGCAGATTGCGAGTGAGCGTGGTGGAGTAGTGTTTTCTAGGGGACCATTGATGTTATTTTGCAAGATTCTCCAACTTGCTTACCAATGTCTGCAATGTGAACGTCCTTTAATGGCTTCCCCAGTCTGCATAGTTCTCTCAGCTCGGTTTCCGCTCCTATCGGGTACCTGCAACAGCGATATCGCTTGCTGTAGCCCCACGCTCACTAAAATGCATCATTAATGACTGGCTATAAAGCTCGCAAGCGCAAACTTTTATTACTGATCACTAATACGTGCCACACTATACACGCGAGAGTTTAGAGAACCCCCCACCCGCTGCCCTTCCCATCTCCCTCTCTCTAAGCCCCCTCCCTTCCGCTAAGCTAGGCCATGCACGTCGGTTATGTATTTATTACTAACGCGAACGCTATACAGCAGCGTCGCTCGTGACTCGTAGCAACCGACATCGCCAAGGCAACATGTGCGGGTAGTCGATGGTGCCTGGCAGCGGCGCATGTGCAACCACGTCGTCGGCTCACCAGTGATTTACCCCACGCCGGACGCGAAGAACTGTTCACGTTCGTGATCGCACATGTATAGCTGTAGGCGACTACGTTCTCGTTTACGTAGCCGGCATCGCGGGGCGTTTATCCGTCCGGTGTGCGGGCCTCCGGAGCTGTGTACAACAGAGCTGTATAGCACACAGGGACCGACAGAGTTGTATACAACACAGACACAGGGACCGACAGAGTTGTATACAACACAGACACAGGGACCGACAGAGTTGTATACAACACAGACACAGGGACCGACAGAGTTGTATACAACACAGACACAGGGACCGACAGTTGTATACAATTAACACAGAGTTGTATATCACAAAGAAACGAACAGAGTTGTATATCACAAAGAAACGGACAGAGTTGTATACAACACAGAGCTGTAGAGCATATGAAGCTGTACTCAACAAATTAAGTGCTGTATAGAATACAGACTGAGAGCTATCTAATTTTACAACACAGCCAGGCACTAGCTGAACATGTGTATCAAGAGTACATAATAGAGACATAATACATCTCTATTATGCACTCTTGATGTGTATAGATATATAAATATCACCATGCAAGAGCGTATAAAGAAGAGCGTACGGTATATACCTTCTTTATACGCTTTTGATATCACACAGCAGCTGTCTGAACAGATCAAATTAAGGTGCATCCTATTTGATTTCACAATCTTCTAAAAGAGCAATTGTTGTGAAAAAAAAATTTCCTATCTTGCTTCATCGCGATAAAATTTTAGCTGACATCTGTTACAGAATTCTCGCTCGCGGAGCGCATTGAAATAAAATCGGGAGTGTCATAATATCGTTTATGACACGCCTGATACTACGCGTGCTCTATATACGTGGAAATTCCGCGTAGTCATTCGTGGAAAAGTACTGCTGTGTGGTAATAGCTAGTCTTCCTGGCTGTCTGCCCGACTCACTACTGCAGCCGCGAAAATTTTCCACGCGCCATCGTGGCAGGCTGAGAGATTGCGAGTAGGAACAGGTTTATATATTAGTTATATATCATGATATCATTGATGATGCGAGACGTGGCCACTGGACATACCACGATATACGGGACCCGTAGCGTGTGAGCGTAGTGCACTCTCCCGCCAGGGTGACGGTTGCTGCTGCCTGTCGGTCATAAACGATGCCGCACTGGAGTGAATATTATACTATTATAATTTATTAAACAAGACGGCTTCGTGTCGTGTCGTCACCTGTTTCGTGTCGTCAACAGCTGGTACACGTCTGTCGTGTCGCACGCATATAGTCACGACACGCACGTAGTCGCACGTACATCTCGGAAGGGTCGACACCCATACAGTCAGCACACGCAGCGGAAGCAATTATAGGGCACACCGTATAGGTCACACACACACACACACACGCACGCACGCACGCACACACACACACACACGCACGCACGCACGCACACACACACAGACACGCATGGGCACGCGCGCAAGCACACACGCATGTACGCACACACGCGCACGCGCGCGCACGCACGCACGCACGCACACACACACTGTGACACACAGTGACACGCATGTGTACGCGCCACGCGCGCAAGCACACACGCACGCGTGTACGGACGCATTCACGCATGCACGGACGGATCGACGCATTCACTCAACCACAGAATACACACACGCGCATACGCACACACGCACAAATAACGCACGCACATACGGACACGTACGTATACGTGGATATAAGATTTAATTGCGTCTACGGTTTCGATACATTTTGACTTTATATATGCATATAGCTACTGATATATTTATTTATGCATTTTATTATACATGTATTTATGCATGAAGTATAATGCCTACGTGACACGGATACAGCAACCCAACTTTCATAATTGCACCAACTGTATACACCAGCCCTCACGTACACACACACGCACGCCCGCACACACACACACACACACGCACGCACGCACACACACACGCACACACACACACACTCACACTCACACTCACACTCACACTCACACTCACACTCACACTCACAGACACAGACACAGACACAGACACAGACACAGACACAGACACAGACACAGACACAGACACACGCACGCACGCACGCACGCACACACACACACACACACACATAAACACTATACATCCAGGTCAGGGTTCTGCCCAGGATTTTTTAGTGCCGGGCGCATCCAGTTGCGACGAAGTCGGAAGATGCAAGCGCCGTAGGCGCGAAGCCAATCTAGGGGGGTCCGGGGCATGCCCCATCGGGAATTTTTTAGACCGGAGATAGTCTGAAACTCAATTTCCTGCATTCTGAGCAATAAAAAGCCCATATATCAGATTTTTTTTATATCAAAAATTAGTGCCGGGCGGTGATATATAGTGCCGGGCGGCAACCGCGAGTGCCGGGCACACCCGCCCACCGCCGCCCACCGTGGGCAGAACCCTGATGCTCATCCTCCTCCTATCCTCCTACTATGTATATACGGTTTCCTAGCGAAGATGGCTGCTGCATGACAACATGCGATTTTAAATCGATTATCCTGCAAACTGTGTATATACTCTCTACATACATTATATTGCTTACCTGAATTCGTCATAGTACTTGCAAACCTTCTGGTAGTCTTCAAAGGCACTCATGTCTATTCTCTGGCCGTATTTTTTAGCGTTCGAAACTATTTTCGGTATAGACAAGCAGAGAGCGGAACAGGCGTGACAAATATACAATGTTGCTCGCTCGCCAGCGGGGTGTAGCCTAGCTGCTCTTGACTGCCACGTGATATCGTGTACGTACAGTTTCGTACAATCCTGCATGTGCGTGTACAGACCAGGGTTTCGTATTGACGCCTGAGTAAATACCTGGCATGCGCGAAGGATTCTGTCAGTGGTCACTTAAGTGCGCAGGAGTACATTAGTTCACTATACCCATTTTTTTCCCAGTTGCCGGCATTCCTGCTGAATCATGATGGAATTTAACGAACCGGTTCTCATCGGGTTCGTCAGTCCCACGATCGAGTTTTAGCTCGGGTGCGGTATTCGCTGCTCGGTTTTAGTGCATGGGTGTGGCATTGCGGCTTATATCCGTACGTATGAGGTCACTATAGCTGTGCTGATATGCGGAAGAAAAACGAAAAAAGCCCAGCGCGAAAACAAAGAAGCAGTTGCAAATTTGTAAGATATCGTGCTGTTTAATTCCCCCCCCCCCTCTCTCTCTCTCTCTCTCGCGCGCGCTCTCTCTCTCTCTCGCTCGATCTACGCGGTACGTTGCACTCATAATAGGCCCTACGGTAAGAAAACAGCGGGTGCCTTTTTTCTGCTCATTGATAATAGTCCCTATATATTCTGTTTGTGTTCATGCAAGGTTTTTTGTGTTACTATATATATATGTGTGACTATGTATTTTCAAACATACGACAACATCTGCTGGACTTCACTTTATCTTCTAAGAGCTAGTGGGCCAAGGATAATGTTGGACGTAGCTGTGCGGACTTACTCGCGGGAAAATATTTTTTTAGGATTTTAGGATTTTATGTGTACACGTGGGTATGCGTTGGTGCGTACGCGCGTGTGCGCGTGATCTTTGTATAAACATATCTTTCTAATCTTTGTATATATATATCTTTTAAACTTGTATAAACATATTCGAGAAGTATATTCGAACAGTACGTATTTCGATTGTTATGGAACCACAATCGGTCCAGATAATATCGTTTTTTTGTATTTTGTAAAATCAGTCTTTGGTACATTTTTTCATATATATTTGTTGCGATGCGTTTCGGAATACGGTAAATATTTATTGGCTGTATACAGCACGAGAAGATAAGCATATATATATATCAAGAATACATAATAGACGATCTCTATTATGTACTCTTGATATATATAATAATAACACAGAGACAAGACACAATACAGACATGATATATATACAACACAGGCAAGATGAAACGCAGACAAAATACAACACGGGCAAGATAAAAGGCCGACAAAATACAACACAGGAAAAATACAACGCAGATAACACAGAGATACAAAACAATGACAAAACGCAATATAACAGTTGTGAAGACAGAGCGAATGGCGTCAGAGCGTATGAATTAATTAGAAGAACCGCACGCCACTGGTCGTAGGGTCAGGGATCATTGAACCAAGACCTATTAGGAGTGGGGTAGTAATCGGTTGAGTGCTTAATTGTCAATGTAGTCATAAGAATGTAGTTAGCAATAATTAAGCTACATTAAATGTGGATCGAGTATTGACGAGCTTGTAGATCGATACAATTGAGACCCGAGTCGACTGAAGGTATAATCTATACGCTGTTGTTGTTAGGTGGACAGCTGCATCTTAATAATAATTATAATGATAAAAATAATAATAGAAATAATTATGATGATGATGATAATAGGAATAATAAAGATAATAATAATAATTGGAATTGGGAACAGCACACACCCTGCATTCGTCTGGAGTGAATCCCTATGTCCCAGCTATAGGTTGGGCCAACCCAGAAGCCACCGGCTATTGCCGTGATCCTCTTTAGAAATAATTATATAGTAATGATAATAAATGGGGCGAGAGTTCCTGTTGCGAGAGTACTGGGCACGACCCGTACCTGGAGCAGTTCCTCTCCCGGGTCCCTGCGCGTTGACAAGACTTAGTGTTGTAGGGGACAGACGATGGCGCATCACCATAGCATCACATAGACAGGCATATATATGCTGTATGTTGATGTATGTTGTTGCTGTATGCTGCTAAGTATGTTGATGTTCACGGTAACATGCTAGACGCTAGCTTTCTCCTTTAATTAGACCGATTCCAACAGTCACCGTGACTCTATGGCTTGGATTTTCAACGATTCCTGCTCATTTTTATTTCGTTGATCCTTTTTCGCCTTCTTCATTCTGTTCACGACCCATGGGCGTAAATCCCGGGGGGGATGCATCCCGCACTCCTATGAATGGCAGGGGGCGAGATGGCAATGTACAATATACCCCTGAGCATAACAAAAGACAACTCCATTCCTCCGTTGCCACCACTTGAAAGTAAGCTGTAAATATGATAATTTTGAGACATAGCAACAACTAAATCAATTTACCAATTACTACAGGGGCGTGTACAGGGGGGGAGAGGGGTCCAGGGGGTCCGGATCCCCCCCCCTGCTCGCGCAGAAAACGCATCTAAGGGGGTCTAATTTCAAACCCAGACCCCCCCCCCTTCGCGTGATCATCCCCCCCACTCCTCGGTACGGATTTACGCCCCTGTCACGACCATTCAGTTTCAGCAGAGAACGAGTTATTCGTTAATCTCCTCGTTATGCTATCCTACTGATAGGGTTTAATTTCTATTACATTCCGGTGAATTGTTAATCTAAAGCACAATTTTTAGTGTTTTCGCGTCGTCTTAGCACTTTTTAACATGATGACATCTAGTCATCTACATAAAAACGCTGCGGTTGTCACACCAGACTTACTGTTCCCCTACGATACCTGATCCCTCTCCTAGCTACCTAGCTTCTGCATCTCTGAGGCTCTGCATCTATGACTACGGTGCCCAACATTTACTGTATGGCCCACAAGCGCGGGAGCGCGTAAAACATTATACAACCTAATCATACATAACACAATACTAGATCACTTCTATCATCCAGCTATCCGGCACAATTATGTGGCAGTATAGTCCTAGGCTCTATACCACAAACAGTCACTCAATCTCATAGTCTCCAAATAAACAAGATAAGAAGTTTGAAAGCCCTTGTTATTTCTCGGATTTTATCCTTATTGTGTGATGTGTAGTTCTTTTTTTATCCATTTATTTACACCACTGAAGCATAAACTATATATTTATACGTATATCTATACAAAACAAAAAATTAGGGGAATAACGGCTCGCCACTTTTATTCCTGAGTAGACTATATTTGTTTGCATACATATAGTGTATATATAAACGTTTCTAAATATTAATTACCCTTTCATTTAAGATAGCTAAAAACGAGTTAACTGAATATATACCTAATTATTAGGTACCAAAAACTACTATCAACCGTTTCATTATATACCTAGATTACCAAGATTTACACGATTATTTTATATTTCTTGAGGCTACGACTTGCATATAAATAATTGTGGCTTAATTATGGTAGTGAAATCGGCCATGCAATGAATGATTCTTGGTTCACAAAGACCCGTCACCACAACGAGATACACCAGTAGTCTGGACACTGTATGAAGTCGGTCTAACATTCCCTTTAGCAGAAAAATTATTGACAAAATTTTATCGTGCAACGAGAAACGTCGAGAACGCTTACTGCCTACGATATTTCAGAAGCGACTGGCATAAAAATGTCAAATTTTTTTGCACTCACTAATTAGCACATATACTGTAATGACGCTACTATACTATTAGTAAGATAACGAGTAAATTTACAAACCTAGTGCTGCATTGAGAAAAACCGCCGTGAGCATACACGCAAGTAAACGACACTCCAGTGTTATTCCTGAGTATTCTGCACATCATAATTATTTAAACATATATATATATATATATATATATATATATATATATATATATATATACTAACCTAACACTACGTACTACTTACTACTTACT